GAATTCTGGGATGTAAGATGCTGGTTGGGGAATTCTGGGAGTAAAGTCCACACATCTTACAGTTGCCAAGGTTGACAACACTGCACTAGGATAATGTGAAGAGCAAGATGAAGAGGTAGGATTGAAAGTTTAGATGGACAGAGCCTCTCTTCTTGAATGAATTTAAATCACCTGGAATAGATGGATTGCTGTATCCTGAGGCACTGAAAGAACAAGTCAATGGATTGGACAAACCCATGTGAGGATCTTGGAGAACTAGTGAAGATGGTAGAGAAGAGCACATGTTGTTTCTTTTGAAGAAAAGAAGAACAATAAATACAGCAAACTACAGACCAATCAGGCTGACACAAATAGTTGGGAAGATTCTATCAGAGATTATAAAGAGACTGATCAGTAAGCACATTGGAAATAAAATGGTAATTAGCAGAAATCAGCATGGATTTGCCAAGAATAAATCTTGTCAGATTAATCTCATTTTTTTAATCAAGCAATTTCCTTAATGGTCTCTGAGAATACTGTAGACATGAAATATATTTTCAACAAAGTGTTTGACAAAGTACCTCAGACATGCAAATGAGTAAGCTAGTTAAGTGTGGGCTGAATGCATGATAATTAAATGAACAAGCTGTCTCAAAAATCTTACTCAGAGAATGCTTATCAACGGTTCCTCATCAAGGCTCAGTCATGGCCTCTCTGCTCTTCAATGTTTTCATGATTAAATTGAGGGAAGAATTGGAGAGAATGTTTATTAAATTCATGATACAAAATTAGGTGGGATAGCTAATACCCTAAACAAAAATTCAAAATTATCTTGATAACTTGAGAAATAGGTTGAACGTAACAGAATGAAATTTAACGGACAAATTGAAGTTTCTCATTTTATTTCCTCTATTCAATTTAAACACTGCCTGACTCCAACCAAAGCTGGGCAGGGAACAGTAAAACAAACTTAATAAAAACCAAATATAATAATTATAAAAGAGTAAACAACAAAACTGATGGTGGATCCGGCTAACCACATCTACACACAATCCTGCAGGGCCCCCAGCCACCCTAGCCCAAGGCCTGGGAGAATGTTATGGTTTTCAGGAATGCCAGCTTTTGGAAGCAAACCCTCTTTGAGTTTGAGAAAATTAATACCTTTCTTACCAGAAACCATAGTGGGCTAGCAAATGGTCTAAGCCCACGATGAGCAGCTTTTCTATGGGGAGAGCTTTCCCTACTCACCCCTTCTAGGGGTGCCCCTGCACAGGTTGCAGAGGGGCTTCAACTGGTTTTCAAATCCACATTTCAAATGTGCTAAATATAAAATTGCTTTGCACATCAACATTCCAAGTCCTGGAAAGTAACTCCAGGCCAAAATATAATAGATTTAGAATGAAGATCCAGCAACGTATCACTCGAATAATCCAAGGAAAGGGGAGAAAGCCAGACAATTACTTAAAAATATTTTTTCTGCAATTTTAAACATTCTAAATTGTGAAATAAGGTGGGGTGCTCAAAGAGAATTGGTGTTGGGGTACGCATAGTACTAAGCTATGAATTAGTTCACTCAGTTTTGGTTTAACATATTGTGTGATCCCAGCTGATGTAGTTATTCGAAGTTTCATGCCTTAAGCTACCAAACTAAAGAGAAAATAATTTTGTCTTTTTTAATATAATGAGAAAACCATTACTCTCTTTGGAAGAAATCAAGCTTTTCTTGCCTGCTAGCATCCTCACTACAAATACATGTTTTCACTTGTGCTTTCTCTCCTAGTGAGCCTTTTCTGCTGCCTAGAACAAAAGGCTAATACAGGTTTTACATACATACATACATATCCATTTTGTACATGACAGTGTAATTTTCCTGGGAATTATTTATCCTTGCTTAGTAAGTGTGGATGTAGAACTATTCCTACACTTCCTAGTTTTTCAGTGCTTGGCCTTACTGAGCACAGCAGGGACATGACCAAAGAAGGAAAATCAGTTAGCTTTTTGTATCTACAACTCTCAATGCCTTTAAAGGGAAACTATCAGTCCTGTTACACTCAGTGGTGCTTGCTTGTTCTTCAAGAAATCTGGATTTCTGTGCAAAGAATCATATTCCCAGTTCCCAAATTTCATACCAGCAGAAACTTTGGCAATATTTTGTGTAAATTGACAGTGGTGATCAAATTCCCCAAAAATGTTGTTTTCAAAGAAGATAATTTGATAGCATTAATCAAAAGCAGGATCATGCTCTCCCAGTCCTCAAATGAAGGCACTGTTCCCCTTCTGCAGAATGTAATTAAAATCCAAAATGCAGCTCGGGATATTGTGTTGCACCAAATGATAAGAAGAAACCTTAAAGAACTACCCCAAATGAAAGCACTAAATTGGAATTTGGTCTAAGAATATTCTAGGAATGTTTAGTTTGTTCCAGGAAGTAATTGTTTTTCTTCAGATATGCATATAAAGAAGTTATTTGTCACTGTTAATTTATTTCCAGACGCTTCTTAGTAGCCATTGGCCACTATGATTGGCTTGGGCCTGGTGCAGAATTCAGTGTGTACGTGGAATAGTTAGCATCAGTCCTATTGTTTTGTGCAGAAATATGGGCAAATATTACCTATGTTCACACAATATGCTCAGCTAGATCCCTGTCAGCCTCCCTCCCTTAATGGATTGGTCTTGACTGAAGCATTCAACAGTACATGGTCAATATGAAAACGTACTATACATTAAGACAAAAATACGATAAACACATGTCCATTTCCTTCTCTCACCTTTCCTATCACTTAACAGAAACTCTTATTTGTGCTTCTCCTGGCAATTGGTTATTGACATACAGAATATTCCTGCCCTGGGAAACTCTAGCTCCAAGTAGCCCATGAAATGTTAAGATGTGAAAATGCTGGTACTGTAGTATGATTCCCAAGGACCCTATTGTGAACATTTCTCCAATGTGAAACAAAATAAGACCTATTTTAACCATCTACCAATCCACAAAATCACTTGTCTTTTTACTCCATAGCTCCTGAGTTTGTTCAAGAACCTTCAGGGAGGGACTTTGGCAAAGACTGTTGAAATTTCAAGTATACAAAGTCAGATCACCTCATCTGCAGGCATGTTAGCATCTACAAAAAAGTCCAGAAAGCTTTTAAGACAGGACTTATCTTTGCAAAAGCCATGCTAATTACTTTTCAGCAAGGCTTGTTCTTCTAAGAATGTAAGAATAGCCTTGCTAGATCAGGTCAAGGTCCATCTTAGTGTAAAATTTTGTTTCTCGCAGTGATCAACCAAATAGCTCTAGAAACTTGCAAGAAAGAGGAAAGATGCCCCTCTCCGACCATCGTTTCCCTTTAACTGCTGTTTAGCCCAGAGGTAACAGTGAGTTATCCTTGATAGATTTGTCCTTCATGAATTGATCCAATCTCCTTTTAAAGCCATCCAAAGTCAGTGGTCATCACCGGGTCTTGAGGTAATAAATCTGACATGTAAATTATGGCCTGTGTATTTTCTTTTGCTTGTTTTAAAGCTCCTTCCAATCAGTTTCATTGGATGACACTTGGTCCTACATTTTGAGAGAGAAGAAAAACTTCTCCCTGTCCATTGTCTCCACACCATGCATAATTTTATGTGTTTTACACATGTTCCCTCTTAGTTACCTTTTTTCCAAGCTAAAAGTCTCAAATATTCTAGCCTTTTCTTAAAAGAGAGATTTCCATTCTCCTAAGCATTCTGGTTGCTATCTTCTGCCCTTCTTCCAGCACTATTACATTTCTTCAGTTTGTCTGGGATCTCCCTAGCTCCCTTTCAAATCTTCCCTGTTCCAGTTTGCCCTTCTGTTTGCTCACTCAGCTCACAATCCCAATTGCCTCTCCTCTTTCCAAAGACTGCTGGCTACAACTAAGCTTTTGGCTGAGGAATGTCATTCTGTCCACTAGCTAATCACTTGATCGGTAATCAGCTGCAGTAGTAGTCCTGCTCTGCCCCTCAGATCATAAGCTTAGGAGGTAAGCAAGCATCCATGATGCTCAGCCAGAAAAACAATGCAATTCATCATCTAATTAGCTGTAATGATCTGTTCTACAGCCTGATAGAGATTCAGAAGACAGTTGGGAAAACAACAGCCACATACAAATTCCTCAATTATCTATGAAGAAAAGTCTCTGCCCTAAAAAACTGGAAGATAAATTGAGTTGTAAAGTGAATGTTGCTGAATCCCATTCTCTTTCAATAAATTTGATCACAGAAGACTCTATGAGAACTTGGCTATTGGCTGACTTGACTGCCAAGAGCTTGACATTAGCTAAACAACCCTCCTTCTATGTTTGATTGTATGCTTGATTATTCTATCTTTGATTGCTTATATTTAATAAAAGCTCCTACCATTTTTCCCAGAATGGAAGTAAGGTTAACTGGTCAAGAGTCTCTTTATCTCCCCTCAATCCATCGTTAAAAATCAGAATGACCTCGGCATCTATTTCCCAAGCCTGGAAAGCAGGTAGTTTCAAAGAAAAGTTGCATATTCTTTCTGGTCCAAAGACCATAATAAAGGTTTGATTTGATTTGCATGTTTTGTTTTGTTTTTTGGATTAGCAATTCCACATATGCATTTTTGAAGGCTGATACGGTTGCCCCCCACATTTATTTTGTTCTTAATTGTCCTCTAGGCTTATAATTTCCTCCCCAGTTATTTCTACTTATCTTCCCTTGGTTGACCTGATTTTCCCCCACCTCAGCCAGCTCAAGTACAAGCCTTGGGGTTTGACTGAAGCAGAGAATGCAGCCATCCCTGCTAGAAAATGTGGGGCCAACCACTGTCTTGCGAGCCTTTCAAAGGTGTAGGCTCAGTCTGTTTTCCGTTTTACTGCACTGTCGTATGAAGGAAGGTTTTCCACAAAAGTTGTTTTTGGCTAAGATGTGTGATTGGCTCATCAACAGAATAACAAGAACAAGGAGAGATGCTTGTTTAGGAACACACTGCTCTGAATGGAAGCTTGAGATAGGCAAAGTATTTTAGATCTGCCTTTGATTCCATTCTGCCAGGATTCCTTGTTAAAAGAATGCCTTAATTCACTGGGGAAATATGCATGGCTTCCTGCCAACGGTACTGATGGGACATTTTGGGTGGGCAAAGTATGCGAACAATAAACAAAATCCTAAGATAGTAAATGCAGTGAAAATAGTTGCTGCTGCTCCGTAGTGCTCCACCAAGGCAGCCCTCTGGTTCCAAACACAAACTGTTAAACAAAAGAAGGAGCAAGAGATGGAAAAAACTCAGTTATGCAATACAAAAGTGGAGTATTGAGCTGGGCAGGGGATGTGCGATTTGGATAATGAAGCAGGAGAATGGAAAGCAAAGCTTAGCATCTTGGAAAGAGACTGAGGATACAGGGGGAGAAAGGAGCAGGAGGTGATGACCATCCCACGCTACCGGAAATGCTGGAGGAATAGTCCCGGCAGCCAGGAGGCCTTGCAAGGATAAACTTCCCATTGAAGAGTACCCACAACAGGCTGGGCTCCAGCAAGGGAACGCTACCTCGCAGAATTGCTCCCATGAAGAATTTGGCAATCCAGTACAGGTAACGTCCACTAAGGACCTTCGTTCAGCTGATTTACAGTCAATGGCTAGAGAGGGAGACTTCTTGAAGCTCGGGGTTTTCTGGACTGGGGATATAAAGTTGCTTTTGGCAACAATTTTTTAACTATTTGTTTTATCTGTAATTGTTGGGTTCATTGTAAGCTTTTCCTAGAAAAAAGGAGACCATTTATGATAACACATTAAAAGCATGGCTTGGATTGATTTGCTGTCTGGCAATATAATTTGTGGGCCAAATAGCACTTTTTTATTTTTAAAGAGGATTCTTATTTCACCTTTCTGCCTATTGTGTCACACAATGATTTAATTAATTAAGTTTATGAATATGGGGTAAATAGAAGTAATACTGCCTTGAAGATTTTATAATTGCTGTCCTCATAGATTTGTTGGTCTGTTTAGGCATTTGCTGTTTGTCCTATAGTGCTTCCATTTAATTCTTATTTAATTTTGTTAATCAGGATATAGGTGGATGTGGACGCATAAAAAATTACAGCTTTATTTTTAATTGCAACTGAGATAAAAAGGTGATGATGAATACCTAGAACAACAATTAAAGTTCAAAAGGAAGCTAAAATATGATTTTAATTAACAGGAAAGGAAAGCAAAAGACAAATTTAGAGGCTGCAGTGTTATAATAGTGCAATTTCAAGTAGCAAAGCTTAAAATTCAAAATTAAAAGAACCACACCCATTTTCTAAGTTTGATACAGGATATGAAAGTAAGATCCTGTATCTGGAACCTGTATTCGTAGACAGTATGTAGTGAAACCATTTTTTGTTCTTCTATTTTTAGTTGATAGCTATTCATTAAAAAAAAAAAGATATAAAAGAATCCTAGAATTGTGGAATTGCAAGGGTCCTCAAGGATCATCCAGCCTCTGCAAATTGCAGGGAAATTAAACCCTCCTTGAAAACTATTGGCAACCACCTCTTAAAATGGAAAAAAAGGAGAAGCTGCAAGTTCCACAAGCAGACTGTTCCATTGTTGTATAGGAAGTTTTTTCTTATATTTAAATGAACTCTAGATCCTCATTTCTATGGTAATGGAATTTAGTTCCTGACCATCTTCCCTGTGGCACCCTTTTATGTACATGAACATTGATACCATGTCTTCCCTCAGTCTTCTCCAGACTGAACCTCCTAAGTTCCTTCTGATTGTCCACATAGGGATTCCTTTTCAAGAAATCCCAGCTAGCAACAACAGCTTTGTATTTAAGGTTTTCTTCCCATGGCACCTTCCTTACTATTTCATTTGGTTTATTATAATCAACCTTTCCAAAACCATGGTTTGTGTTTGGCTGATCCAAGTTAGCACATCCCCTAATGCCTGTCTCAAATTTTCAAAAAAGCAAATTAAATCTCCCATAACAACCACTTCATGGTTGTTGTTTTTTAAACATTCAGTTATTTTCTTTAATAAACTTCATCTACCAGACAAATTAATTCCTAATAATAAAAGAAGCCAAATCCTTAGATTCTGATTTGCGGGAGCAGCAACCACGTTAAAAGGATTGTTGTGGAATCTTGATAATCACTGAATTTTAAAAAATGTCAGAAGAAAGAATATCAAAAGAAGTCTAAGAAACACAAAGGATATGGTTGAAGGAACACAGCATGATACAGATAGATTTGAGCAAGATTAAAAGGGAGGGAAGAGAGTGTTGTAGAAGGATTGAAGAAAGTGGATAAAAATAAAGAAAATGATCCCAAAGTATTCCATGTTGGTTGGGGGTATTGCAGCTCTAGTAACTTGTACGTGGAAAAGATTGACTTGCTCCCTTTTCAAGCTGTGTTTACATCCCAATTTGGCATGGAGAGGGCTTTGGTCACCCCGATCTATAATGGGAAAGAGTTGATAAAATTATCTACAGATTTCAGCATGTTCAGTCCAATCATTTTTTTTTAGGCTGGGAGAGAACTGGGTGATAGGAGTGCTTTGCAGTGGTTCCATCCCATCTACCTGGACACTGCCAGAAAGTGATATTGAGAGATTTCTGCTCATTTCTTAGAAACTGTCCTGGAAGGATCAGTAGTGAAGCTGGGAGCTTTTAGCTGGGGAGCTAGATTTCAGGATTCAGGAGTTATGTCCCTTCTGGTTGGACTCCCCTTTAAGGTTTGGCAGATTGGGAGATTCCTTGATTCAGTGCTAACACTGGACAACTACTTAACATTACTGGTGCTTTTATCCAGTTTAGCTGATAAAACAGAAGAGTCCCCTGTCTGGAGGAAAGAGACCCAGCTTCATACACTCATAGTCTCAAGACTGAACTATTCCAAGCTGCTCTTTGTGGAACAGCCTTAAAGACAGTCCAGAAATTGCAGCTGGCCTGGGAAATGGCAGCCAGAGATGAGTGGGATCTTCTTGATCCCACTCCCCCTTACCCCATGTTGATTCACTGGCTGCCAGGCATCTTCCAAGCTCAGTTCAAGATACTTGTGATGGTTACAAGGCTTTTCACAGGACTTTTAATGTCAGTTTTTTTAGCTTTTGTGGTTTGGGGCATGTACTGATTCATAAATAATTAAAGTTGATGATGCTTTTACTATACTTCATAAATCACCCAGAGACATTCAGGGAGTGGTGGACATGTACTTTTTAAAATTAATTAATTTATAGCAGGGGAGTACAAAGAGTGCGAAACAACTGAAAAGCAGACAAGAATGTACAGAATCAAAATGGGTGGGGAGGTCACAAACAATGCTTGGTTCCCCACCCCCCAAGAGAAGTTACTGCTCAGTATGCCTAATGGAAAAGGGCATCAAAACCAGTTCCTTCTCTATTTTAAAGGTCGTAAACAATTGAATATAAGTAAGGCCTACACACACTTGAGATTATGTTATAGAATGTTATGTGTTTTAAGAGAAGTTTTCTCAGCTTTTTAAAATGAGAGATCCTTTCTGGTTATAGAATGTGGTTTTTGAGTATGTGTGCCTGTTGTTAACGAGGTTTTTGCAAAAAATTGTTTTAAGATCTGCCAGAAAAGACTTGGTCTTTCTTTCGTTCTTGCATATAGATTATAGCAATACTTTCAGGAATGAATGGTAACAAGCAACTGATGTTTCATATAGCCATGAAATATTCTGTTTTATGTTACAATAATGGATTGTACATTATGTGAATGACCATGCATTAGTTTAAATGAGAGAAGCATTTGTTTAGGGAAAAAAGTGTTTCATATGAGCTCATTTTTTTTCAATTTGCCAATGAAAATACTTGTCATTCATGAGTTTTCATTCAGAAGGATCTACTGTATTTAACAGGTCAGGAGAGGTCTCCTTAACTGCTTCAATTAAACCGACCAGTTAAATAGATTCTTCTGATTCATGTACAAACATATTATTGGCACAAGTACCAGTCCCTTGGTTTCATATCATCCTTCCCTTTAGGAAGACATCAGTAAATGATCAAGGAATACCTGTGAATGGGAAGGAAAGGATCCTCTTCCATGAACTGAAAACAGAAGGCACCTTCTTAAGGGAGGGGACAGGAGTGGGGTACAAAAGGCAGCAGACATTACTGGATCGGATGCCTTTGAAGATGCACAAGGCGACCCTTCTTTCCCTATCCTCTTCTCCTTTCTCCATCTCCTTCCAGTTTTGTTCCTCCCTCCCCCACTTTCTTCTCTTCCAACAAAGGTGTCTGCAGGTGGTCAAAAAAGTCAAGATGGCAGCCAGTCCAATCACAGCCCTGTCCTTTTTAAGGTGTTTGTAGGGGGTTGATCAGATGGTGGTGACCACCATCTTGACTGTTTTTGACCCCACAGGGATGTTCTTTCCTTTACTGAATCTCCATCCTGTTCTTTTCATCTTTTTCTGCTGAAAGGAAACAGCATCATCAGCCTGCTTTAAGTTGTCTGATCCTTCTCAATGGGTAATCCTCGGTGTGATTCTTTGAGGCAGGGTCTGACCACTGCAGAATAAAGCGGAACTGTGCTTTGGGTGTGTATTTCTAGTGATACAGCCTCAAAGTGCATTTACCATTTTTGTCTTTTTTTTTTTTTTTTGCAGCTGCATTCCCTCTTGACTCATGTTCAGTTTGTAATCAACCACCACTTCAAGTGATTCTTCACAAATGCTATTACCAAAAAAAAAGGTATATCTCATCTGCAATTGATTGCTTTTACCTACTTCATATTTGCTTCTGTTGAATTTATTTATTTGTTTATTTATTTATTTATTTAAACAATTTTTATGACCACCCAACTCACGGTGACTCCGGGTGGCTTACAAGAAAAAAACTCCCAATATAAAACCCACTCCACCCCTGGTGACAACAAAACATTAATTAATTAATTAATTAATTAAATGGGTCTGTTTTCAGCCTAGTTCTTTGGGCTGAATTTTATTTCTCTTTTCTGTATTAGCTTCCTGTACAATTTTGTGTCATCTGCAAATGTGAGAAGGTACCTCTCTACCTTCTCATCTAAATTAGTAATAAACATGTGGAGTCCCAGGATCAAGTCTTTTAGTGCCTAACTCCAGTGTTCTTTGAATATGGTTTTCCAGTTTTGTCTTCTAACCCAAATGTAACTATCATGTAGTAGTTTCTCAAATATTTGCTAAAACTGTACATGACCACAGTATTCCCACAATCTACCAAAAAAGCTACCCAGTCAGAATATGAATTAAGATTAATCTGACAAAGCTTGTTGATCTCTAATAGTTCCTAGTTAATTAAATTGCTAGTAATTAAATTGCTAGTAATTATTGCTAATAATCAAAATACTGTCCTTACAAATGGATTTGACTGGTCTGTATTGCCTAGCTTGTGAGCAGCATCCTTTGCTCATCCTGAGCGTTTGCTTTCCTTACACCAGCTCTGGAACTGGTGGCTGTTTTACTCTTTCTCCTAAGGCAGCCGTCTCCTTCCCGCCCATCTTCAGGAATTTGGTCCTGAGATGCTCTGCTGATTAATACTATCTGCTTGTTATCACAGCAAGGCTTTTGGTGCCTTTTATCAGCTCTGAATATTTACTTCTATAGGCTATTTTCTAATCATTTAGAACTGAAGTATGCTATAGATTTCTCTTAGTCCACTCCCATTAAATATCAATCCCATTTGAATCCAAACTTTTTATTCTGATCCCTAGTTTTCATTATACATATAAATAGCTAACTACGCTATATTTCAATGCAGTTTCATTTCATTTTCCATTGAGTATAATATCTCCCAGTTTCTCCCTCTGTTTGGGAGATGAAAAAGAGTCTTGTCCTTTTAAAGCCTTAAAGGCAGAAGTTGCTAGCCTCAGGCTGAGAAAAAAAGGAACTAACATTGTTCCTCAGAGCCTCAGATTAAAGTTTAGAATTTCCAGGAAAAAGGGAAGGCCAGAAACGGTTCAGATGCGCCAGGTACTAGTTCTGAAGAAATAGATAACTGGTGTAGGATGGAATTTGCATTAGAATTTTTTATATTTATTTCTCTCTGTGAGCCAATAGCCGTGGGTATTTCAGCCTTTTATGCACATCTCAGATGGCAGCTGTGTGATTGTGACGCCCATAAAAAAGAGTCTTTGATAATTCAGTTGCAGCCACCTTGACTTTTTTGACCCTTCCTGAGGATGTCCCTTCCTCCTTGCCTTACTGGAGTAGAAAACCATAGGATTCCAGAAAGCTGTCAGCACCAGCCAGCCCCTTTGCCAGCAGTGTGGGATCATAGGCGGCAACAGATCAAAGATCCAGCATGAGAGCATCATGGAGAGTGGGATTAATGACAGGAGTGGCTGAGCAGGACTGCTCCAGTTCCAGCCAATAATCTGGAGTTTCATTGCTTTTGACTCAACAGTGGGCGATGGGTGTGGTAGGAAATGCCCAGGAAAAGTAATCTACTGGGCATTAAGATGCCCTCAAGGATCCAAACTCTGCAACTTCTGCACCCATACTGAGATTCTGAAAGGAATAGCCACTTACTGAAATATTTTATTTCATTTTTTTCAGGAGAATTATGCTCCACTCCCGCCCCCCACCCCTTTCAACTAGGGCTGTGCATGTGACTTGGTCAAAACCTGATTGACCAGAGTTGCTCAACCTCAGCCACTTTAAGTTGTGTGGACCTCAACTCCCAGAATTCTTCACATCCCCAGATCACTAGTTGGGGAATTCTGGAATTTGATGCCCACGCATCTTAAAGTGGCCGAGGTTGAGCAACGCTGTCCTAGTCAGAATGGGAAATCCACTTAGTTCTGAAATGCGGCTCCACATAGCTGAGTCCAGCTCTGTCCCCGGCCTTGTCCCGCTGCCCCTACTTGGCTTGTTCTCCCCCATGCGCGCGTAGACGCGCAGCTGGAGGTTAGCCGGTGGTGGGAGGAGCCCAGAGGGTCCGCTGAAGCTGCTGCTCCCGGCGCCCCCCCCCCCCCCAACCCTGGAAGGGGCGACCGTGCGCTAGCGCCAATTGACACACAGGCAACTTCTCCAGAGGCCGACAAG